TACCTCTGTAAACTACCAAGGACAGCTGAAGATGTGAGAGGTTCCGGAGCTGGGAAGGCAGGATGAGAAAAGCCTGGAACTTCGGTTGATGGCTGGGAAAGGTTGTAACCACATCTTCATTTTTATTATCAGAATTATTGTCCTCAAAGGAGGTGCTAGTTCCTGGTTTCAAAACCCCATCTTTTGTCTCTGCTGTAATGAAAACAAGGTATGGCAGATGAAATTATCTATAATTTCTAGTCAGTGAAAACACAAGAAGGACAGTCTTCAAATAACTCACTGTTTATCATGGGTTCTTGCCAGGCCTGAATTAGCTTTGCGAAGCTTGGATGCTGGACTTTCTAGAGAAGAAAATAACAGCTTTAAGAACAACAAATATGAAATTGAATAAAATAACTGTAACATTCCCCATTCCTAGATGATCTAACACAAAGAGCACTGGCTTTGGAGTCATTCAGATATGGATTCAAGTCCTGGGTCTGACATTTACCAACCTACATCTTCTCATGGGGTGAGGATTATGAGAGATGACCTCAGGGGTCCCAAAATGTTACTTTCTTTACCCCTCATTGATTTATTATACAAACACTATGGTATCCATTAGATGACTTTCTTGACCAAAATGATCTAGAACAAAAGCTTATCCCTGATAGTTTAGAGTCCTATTGAAAAATCTAACATTAAGAAATTTAAAGTAAGTGTTCTATTTTGAAATGTGCTTGCGTGATTTATATATGTATGAATGATCTCTCATGGGGGAAATATGAGAGTTTACTTTTTAGCAGTATCTTATTTGGATGAGTTAGAACAGCAAACAGTATAAAGAATAAAGTAAATAAAAAGTAGCCCCTTCCTCCTCTCCCCTCTGTGCTCCTTCTCTTTAAAAGGTTCCTCCTTGACCTCTTCGAAAGTTTCTCTGTGAAGTCATTCTCTAAAACGCATTTCAGACATTTGCTGGTTCCAAAAACCTTTGCTTCTATCACAGTGTCTCTCAGGCATTCTGTAGTTACCTTACTGCTCAACGACTACTCCTGACACTCTAAACACTGCTCCAGAGAGAACCATGTAGCTAATGAATC